GTTGTTATTTTGATTATTTATTTATTTTAGGATTTGTGATCTCCTTATATATATAAGATTTGTGAATTCCTTATATATATAGGGGATACATATTTGTTGGGAGACTAGACTTTGATTATTGATTATGGATATTAAATCTTTTTTTTAAAATTCTCTCTATTCGCATCTCCTTCTTCTTCTTTTCTCATCCCTTTCTTCTTCCTTTCTCATCCCTAATTCTTCCCTAACACGATCTACATCAATTTGATATCAGAGCCCAACTTTGATTCAAGAAAAAAAAATTTTAAAAAAAAAATGAAGTTACTGTTCATCGCACTGTTTACGGGTGCATTGTTCATAAAAAAAAATACTCTTCATTAGTAAAAAAAAAAAAAAGGAGAAAGCAAAATTTTTTATCATATTTCATTGCTGTAACAGTAGCCTGGTGGGTTAAGTTTTGAACCAAAGTTCTCAGTAGATTCAGCAAATTACAGAAACATCTCCATAAGTCTCAGCAAATTACAGAAACATCTCTATAAGTCTCAGCAAATTATAGAAACATCTCCAAAGTCCCAAAAATTACAAACACATCCCAAGAGGTTTTCAAAAATTACAGAAATACCCTAGAAAATTCCAGAAGTTGTAGAACCACTACCAGAAAATTTCAAAAATTATAGAATCACCACTAGAAGTTTTAGAAATTGCAGAATCTTCCCCCCAGAAGTTTCAGAATTACAAAAAATATTCCCAACAGATCCATAAAATTGCAGAATCATTTCCAAAAAGTTTCAGAATTTTCTCTTGATTATGGTATGCATACTTCTATAGAAATTTGAAACTGATATTTTTATTCATTGAAAAATTAAAAAAATTTGCAAAGGATCCAAATTATTTGTCAATTACATTCTTGAACTTGAATTTGGCGTCATTCCCTTGTTCCAAGAGTCACTCACGAGTTTCTCTAATACGCATGTATTAAGAATCTCTCCTCAATGTCATCATCATAGGAAGTCAAAGAATGTTTTCATGGAGTCAACCCATATGACCAAATGAATCAAAGATCCTTTTACATTTTTTGGTACTCCGGATCCCAATCAATTCTTGGATTGGTTAGCAAATTTAGAAGAATATTTTAATTGGCATGGCATGTCGGATTTTCATTGCGTCCGTTTTGCTAATTTGATGTTGGAGGGTTTCGCCAAGAAGTATTGGCAAACAATCCAAAGAAGCCTAGACCCCTTAGGAGAACCACCTATCACTTGGGTTGAAATGAGATATAAATTGAAAGAGAAGTATTTGCCTATTTCCTATATGGATCAAGTTTATGACTAATGGCTCAATTTTAGACAACATTCTTCTAGTGTCTTTGATTACTTTGCCCAGTTTGATTATCTCATGTTCTTGTGTGACATTGTTGAAGAACCTTGGACAATTGATCAGTTTATTTTTAGGTCGAGACAAAAATTAGTAGGGAGGTTAAACAATACACTTCTAATACGTTAGTTGCAGCCTATCAATATGCTCTAAAGGTTGAGAGATTTCATAAGAAATTCAACTATACCTTGATGAGTTCTCAATCACATCCTGCTGATAGGATATCTTTCAATTTTAATTCCATCACATATGAGTATCATGATTACTTAAACGATGTCCATGTTGTTTCTGCATGTTTTTTTAATTCGAATGTGACAAAGGATTTAGATATTTTAGTGTCAGATAAAGAGAAAAATGTTACTCATATGGACTTTTAACTCCCTCATTTAGTTTTGTCATATCAGAGTCTTCCTCCTTTGCACCCACAAGAGTCCATTTTGAAAGAAAGTGTGTGTGAGTCTTTGTTTGTGTCAATTCTTGAACCATTTTTTATCTTAAAAATTGTGGAAAAGTCTGTTGAGTCTACACCTATGCAAGATATTAAACCAATCGAGTCATTTATTACAGAATCTAATAGTGACTATTCTATGTCAGCTTGTCCAAGTCATCATGACTTTGTTACAGATTCTTCCTAATCTGAGATTGTTGACATTGTTCTGGATTCTGCCTCACTTGAGAGTGTTAACTTTGATTTTTTGCCTACTGTCAAGTGTTCAATTGAGTTTGTACTTTCTTATTTTCAGCACCAGGGTGTTATAGTTACTCTTTTGTCACTGATGTCTTGTCCCATTGAATGCCTATTGTTCAAATCTAAGGGGAATTGTTTTGTTATTCTTGAGTTTGGATCTAATGCTTATTTGCTTAATTTTCCATTGAATGTTAGTATTAGTCCAGATTTTTATTGGGAGAACATGCTGCATAATCGAGGTATTCCAGAGCCTCCTATTTTATTCGCAGGTGTTCATACAGATGGAGATTCTTGCATTTATCCTGGTCGATGGAAAGAAGTCGATGGTCCTTTTATTCTAGATGAGGCATTATGTCATCTTTATCCTGCTCTCTTGGGGTAATTCTACTTTGAAGACTCTCCGGAGGAGAATTTTTTTCAACCGAAAGAGAATGATGGGGATCATGTAGGAATTGGATAGATATTGTAGATTAATTATGATAGTTATTTATATACTTTTAATATTTAGCTTTTAAGTAATTTCTTTTAACTTTTAAGGGTTTAGTTGTCATTTTGATTATTTATTTATTTTAAGGTTTGTGATCTCCTTATATATATAGTATTTGTGAATTCCTTATATATATAGGGGATACATATTTGTTGGGGGACTAGACTTTGATTATTGATTATTGATTATTGATATTGAATCTTCTTTCTAAAATTCTCTCTATTCTCATCTCCTTCTTCTTCTTTTCTCATCCCTTTCTTCTTCCCTTCTCATCCCTAATTCTTCCCTAACACGATCTACATCACATGTTAGTATCAGTCCATTCATAGTCTAGGGTTATTTGCGTTACTTGTAACTTTGTTAAACTGAAATTTCAGTTTTGGTTGATTTAGGGCAATGTTAGTTTGAGTGATCCTAGTTTGGTATTGTACAAAGATGGCTGGTAATTGCTTATCGGGGAAAAAAAAACAAGGTGAGGGAAGGAACAGTTATGACTTGTATCAAGGTAGTTAGGTAAATAGAGTTGTATCGAGGTAGTTAGGTAAATAGAGTTGTATTGAAGTTGTTAGGTAAATAGTTCATGAATGGTTACAAAAAACATGGTTCTGAAGCAAGTATAGGATTCGTATGACACATTTTTTGTTACTTGGATAATGTTTGATTGGATATATCAGATTAGCTTGTTTGGTCAAGAAACCAGAAAATGCACGTAAATCAACCATCTGAAACACTTCATTACTCTCTAGGGTTAGTTGATCTGGGATGCCTACTCCATATACCTCTGATCTTTAGTTAAGGTGGTATAATTATTGATGTCATGGACCTAAAAAGGAGGTTGGGGCAAGAGATTTCATTTTTTCTGTTTTTCTGTGGAGAAAAAATTGAAAGTCTGTTCCACATTATGAATTATGCATCATTTTTGGACTATGCTGGAAGCTTATCACTGCACTTCTCAGCTGTATAGACAGTGTCCCTATCTTTTTCATGTTCAAGAAATTAAATGCAGGGATGCCATGGCGTAGACTAGCAGAATTCTATATTCTTTTTTCATGGTTGATTCTACCTTAAATTCTTTCCAGTGCCATTATTCTGATTTTTTTTAATGTATCCATGCTTAGAAAGTTCTTGAAAATTTCAAGTTCAGAATGGTTGCTAAACTAATATTTAGACCGGGGATTGCTTGACTATCAGCTATTTCCAAATTTTATTTCTAGTGTTTATTTTTTTGATGATTTTGAATCATAGTGGGGTGACAGATCATAAGAGGTGGTTCAAGTGTCTACTTAATATGTTACCCTTTGTTTAAATGAAGTTTCATGTTTATAATAATATAGAGATTTTTGATAACACAATGCAGTCATAAAAAATGAACACATTCCAGGCCTTTTTAATTTATTGTATTTGATAATCAAAACTCAAATCACTTAAATATATAAGCACCTCCTAAAAATGGACTAAAATGTTTAGTAGCAAGCATGTTACTTATCATTGAATGTTGAATACGCTAGTGAGCAAGTATTTTATAGACATTTCGTTATGGGATGGACCAATTTGTTCTAAAACATTTTGATCATAATGACACTTACGCCCCAACTTTTCACCACCACCATTGTCGTTGCTGCCAATTTTGCCATGATGCCCATCCCACCACTACCAACCACCACCTAGATCACCATGCTTCCACCATGACCACAACCATCCCACTACCACTATTGACCCACTTCTTCCCTTCATCATTGCCGCCACATGCCACTCTTGTCCCATCGTTTTCATAACCTCCCTCCCCAAAACCAAACAACCATCACCACCACTATCATTCCTTCATCACCATTGTCGTCATAACCACCATATATCTCAACCCCACAACCATCATCTCCATCTGCCCTTCAATTATTTCACCGTCGGCTCCATCATTGCCATCAGCTTCCACTACCATCAGCCCCAACTATCTCTCTCAATATTTTGCTACTACCGCCGACACCGACACTGCCATCACTCCCATTCTATCATCATTGTTATTAGTACCTTTAGGGATGTTGGTGGATATGATAGTGTTGGTGGTAAAGTCGGTGGAAATATGGTCATGGTGACAGCGACGCTGGTAGAAAGACGAAAATAATGGTAAGAGCAATTATGGTGTTGACAATGGGATGACATGTATGTGGTATGGTTTAAAGTATCGGTTAATATTGTTATGAGTTGACACCTTTCGTTTCAATCACATCTAAAAAGTCACAAGTCTCACACCACTCGTCTTAGTCGTTCAAGATATTTCTGATTCAACCTCGAGTCACCAGAGTCATTGTTACCAATATAGCCCAAACAACTTGTTAAGTTTAGATTTTTTTTATCTGGCATTTCGTACCTATCGTTCGATACTATTCAGTGACACCTTAGCTGATGTGTTTCAGTGTCCTTGGAATCAATAGTCGGTACTATGACCTTGAACTATTGTGAGGGTGGTGTGAGATGATGGTGGCACCACTTGTGGTATGTGTGGAGGTGGTGATGATTATGAGGTACTTCTTGTGGGCAAGGGCAAAGTCGCTCGTGCTTGCCCCCACTCAACAAATTTTTTTATACAGATTTCAATATATACTCAATTTGCCCTTAAAAAAAAACTTATTCATTTAAATCTATTTTATTATTCCTCACATTAAATTTCTTTGCTTTCATTTAAGTGAAACTAAATTATATTTAATTAGATCAATCCCTCAATTTGTGTTTTATAAATCATTGTGAAGCTCTTCGTTCTCTCTACCTGTATCTTGTCCCCTATCTTCCATTGATAAGGCTATTCCATTATGGCCTAGGCATTAATATTAAAGTGAGAGCTTCTGGTCTTTTCATTTATTATTTGTTCAAACTTTTTAATATTATTATTGTTAGAAGAACAATATTATTAGAATTTAATTTGAGTATCTAATGTATTGCCACCATTGAATTAGTAAGGTCTCAGATTAAATGTTCTGACTCTGCTAATTCAACAATATCAAATTATCAATACATTAATTTTATAAATTAAGTCCTCGAATTAAGTATATGTAGCATTTTTATTACTAAAAAATTTGCCACCACTACGACAAATTTTTGGTTACGTCCCTGGTTGGTAGAGGGGAAGGATTAAATTAGAGAATTAATAGTTTTCAGATTTTTGCGTCATGTATGGTCAAATAATTTGATTCAACTTAGTGCTTAAATTTCAGTATATATGTAATAAAATTTAGGGTTAATCTCATTTTGCACCTCGAAAGATCGTTCGAATCTCAATTTACACCCCCAAAGATCAAAAATCTCAATTTGCACCCTCAAAGATAGAAATTTGTATCAATGTGCACCTAAAATTAAATTGATAAATAATACCTAAATCTCCTCATATTTGTCAGTTAATCATTTAGACTTCTTCACATTTAGAATATTACTCCTACATCTTATGACATTTGTGCACATATAACACGTAACTCATTTTCATTGATATCTATTAATATAACCGTTAAAAAATATAATTTTATCCTAATAAAAAATTATAATTTCATATTACCCTTTATTTTATAGGTTCAATATACTATAAAGTTCAAAATCTAGTTTACCATTTGAATGTCTAATAAAATATAAATATTTATATAATATTTTTCATATTCCCTTTTATATAAATATCTGCATTTTATTAGACATTCAAATGGTAAGCTTGATTTTCAACTTTAGAGTATATCGAATCCACAAAATAAAAGGTAATATAAAATTATAATTTTATATTAGGATAAAATCATATTTTTTAACGATTACATTAATATATATCAACGAAAAGTGGTTATGTGTTACACATGCATAAACGTCATGAGATGTAAAGGGAATATTCTAAATGTGAAGGAGTTCAAATGATTAAGTGACAAACATGAGGGGATCAAGGTATAATTTATTAATTTAATTTTAGGTGCACATTGATACAAATTTCTATCTTTGAAGGTGCAAATTGAGATTTTTTATCTTTGGGGATGCACATTGATACAAATTTCTATCTTTGAGGGTGCAAATTGAGATTTTTGATCTTTGGGGGTGCACATTGATACAAATTTCTATCTTTGAGGGTGTAAATTGAGATTTTTTTATCTTTGAGGGTGTAAATTGAGATTCGAACAATCTTTCAGGGTGCAAAATGAGATTAATCCTAAAATTTATCATTCAATTTTCAATGCTTAATTTTCAATTTTATCATGCAACAAATACAAGCATTTGTGAGAATTGAAGGGTAATGCCAATGTTGTCTAGAGTCGAAAATTTTAATTTGCAGTGTTTGGTCATGTGGACATGTACTGTCAGTTTTATATCAGTTGATTTTTCATTGATCATTTGCTATTAAGATATTTGGCTATCAACCCCCACCCCCATGCCCACACACATAAAAACAATTGGAAAAAAAAAAAAAAGAGAAAAGGAAAAAAAGCCATAAAACATGTTAGAGGGGAGATGTTATGCCTAATTTGTATTTTGCTCGTGAAAAGATACTTCTGTGCCAAAATCTCCTTTCTGCTCAACTTGATTTACTATTCAGTGCTTTCTCTTTAAGTGGTATATTCCAAATTTGTTCACTGCAGATCGTGGTTACTATTCAGTGGAAACTGTCACACTTCTAGTGGCTCTGAAAGTTCGTTATAGAGATAGAATCACAATCCTTCGAGGAAATCATGAAAGCCGGCAAATTACTCAAGTGTAAGACATTTGGTTTTTCAGGTTGTAATCCAAGTGTGTAATGTTTCGAGGGTCAAGTTACATGATCTTGAGTTTTGTTTATTGCACTGCAAGTTGTATAAACAGTGAGTGAGTTAAACTACATGAAAGATGTAACAAAAATGCCATGTGTCAATTGTTTTGGCTAAAATTTGTCAGAATTCTTCAATTTCAAATGCAAATTCCCATCATACCCTCAAATGGATCTAGATTAGATAGAATGGATTTTGGAGAGGATGATCCATGGAGCTGAGCCTAGGTACTGGCTTAAGCTTTCTGGTGTTAATTGAACAGAGAAAATAATTACTTCATGCAGCCTGGAGCTTTTGCTATTTTTATAGTAGTTACTATATGCTATTTGATTGAACTTATGGCTAACTTTTATTATTATTTATATTCAATCCAGATATGGCTTTTATGATGAATGCTTGAGGAAGTATGGAAATGCCAATGTCTGGAAGCATTTCACCGACCTTTTTGATTATCTGCCCCTTACAGCACTTATTGAGAGTCAGGTTTGAGTTGTACATACTACATGCATAAATATCTCATTTTGATTAATCTCATGACAACTTTTAATAGCTACACATTGTAACATTACAGATCTTCTGTTTGCATGGAGGACTTTCACCATCATTGGATACACTTGATAATATCCGAGCCTTGGACCGCATACAGGAGGTATATGAACCATCCTATGCCTGGAGTTCCTATGTGTTGAGATCTCATACCTGTCTGTTGTAAATTCAAGTTTTTTTTCACAAAGTTGCAAAAGCCTATTTTTGTTTATGTATAGTAAATTCCCAATCAGACTGTGGGATACATCATACATCGCCTCTAGAGCCCCCCCCCCCCCCCCCCCTTCCCCCCCTCTCTTCCTTAGTATGGTACATTCTGAAAATTGCCAAAAGAAAAAAAGAAACTGTGACTTCTTCAGTTCTGCTATTTGCTAGATCCCTTTTGGAATAATGCATAAGATGCTCAGTGGTTGTCAATCTCGTTCATGTTAGGTATAATCACAAAGGAGAGCTAATGGTGATTTTTGTGCCATAATCTCTGCAAATTTTGTATGGCGTATGGAATGTCCTAAGATGATTTTGCTGAAGCCCCTTTACTAAAATCTTTTTTGTCTTGGTAGGTTCCACATGAAGGACCTATGTGGTGATCTCTTGTGGTCTGATCCAGATGACCGGTGTGGGTGGGGAATATCTCCAAGAGGTGCTGGCTATACTTTCGGACAGGATATTGCTGCTCAGTTCAACCACACCAATGGGCTAACTCTGATTTCAAGAGCCCACCAGCTTGTCATGGAAGGTTACAATTGGTGTCAGGTTTGTGAAAATAAATGGAGTAAACAATGTATTTTTTCACAAGTCTCCGTCTTTGTCATTTATAGTTACCATTCATGCATTTTGTAGGAAAAGAATGTGGTGACTGTTTTTAGCGCTCCAAACTATTGTTACCGGTGCGGGAATATGGCTGCGATACTAGAAATTGGGGAGAACATGGAACAAAATTTCCTTCAATTTGACCCAGCACCCCGCCAGATTGAGCCTGACACCACACGCAAGACTCCCGATTATTTTTTATGATCTACATACCTCTCCCGGCTTTTGTAGTCCTCGCTTGCCATTGTGCATTGTAGATGTGTTTTAAAAGAGGAGTTTTGTTGTTTGAGGATAATGGTCAACATCATTCTTTTCTTTGGAGTTTGCTCTGCTGCTGACTTTAATTATGTGCTCAAGATACTCGCCTGAGAACTGACAGAAGGCACCAAGTCCTTTGTCTTGTATATTTTTTTTTTCCCGAAAGGTGGAAGCAGCAAAACATGGTAAATTGTGTTCTGTAATCTTACAATTCATCGTAGAGAGAGCAGGTTTTAGCATGTATGCAGGCAGTTTGCCATTTCCACGGAGTGTTGACTGAAAAATCGACCAGTGGAAATAATTTATAGAATTGGATTGTTGTTGGTCTGGTTTGTAGACGCATGCGGTAAGTTTTCGACCAAGCCGAACTTTAGTTGCCACAAGTAGAACAAATCATATTTCAAACACTTAATTGTTGGCATCTTCAACATTTCTACCCTGTTGGTTGGGTAGTGTTGTTGTATGAGGTCCTCGTAGCATTATTCTGCAGCAGGAAATGAGACTCTTGCTAGCTTTATAAAAACAAATTTATTGGTCAAAATTCCGTTAACAGTAATACCTAGATCCCTTTCAATACAATTTCTCGGTTTCTTTACTGTTAGGTGACACATCATACAGGTTTTCATCAATCCATGGTTAATTAAAAGTGTTAATGGAATCTCAATACAAAAATGATTCATGTTGTTCCTTCATTCTCTGATTTTGGGATTGCCTCAAAGAAATAGCAGTTTTTGGTTCTCTTTGTTGTTAACTTTCACTCTCCTATAATCTCTATTCAATCATTTGAGGATTCAATGCATCTTTGTTAATGTAAACTTTAGCGACGTTAATGAACTTTTCATACCATCTACGTGGACTTTGATTAAAATTTTGTTTTTGTATATTATTTTGATCACCTAAGAAAGAAAGAAGTTTTGACCCATATTGAAAACAGAACAGAAACGAATAAAAAATTAAAAAATTATTTTTTCAAAAAATTAATAAAAATATATCAAAATATCTTAAAATATTCTAAAACAATTGTCTAAATGATCAAATATTAAGAAAAACTTCAAAATATTAAAATTTTAATTTTACCATTGATTTGTTTCACTATTCTAAAAAACGGAAATATTTTGATTATTTCAATCATTTTGAAACCAAATTTTCTACATTTCATCACCTAAAATTCATTTTTTTTCTTTTTCTGTTTTCTATTTTTTTTTTGGGTTTTGATAGGAAACATGAGAATTTTATTAAAAAAGTGTAGGAGAGAATACATGAGAGGATAAGGAGCCCTCAAAATGAAAAGAAAAGAAACGAAATTAAAAGAAAAAAGCTATAAACTTGTCATAGAATGCATAGTAAGATTCTCGAGCCTCCATAATCGGCACACCTGAGGCCGCACTTCAAGTTCTTTTGACATCTACATTTATGTACTGGTTGATTACTTTTTTTCTAAAAGATTTTTTTTTAGCATGAAAATAATTTCATCAATAAAACGCTACTTGATTACTTACTATTTTACAACATAACGTATATACAACTTAGACCTTGGAAAAAAGGGAATAAACCTGAACAGGACAACAGGGAAAATACAAAATAAACGCTGCTATAAAAAAATTATACAACAACATCGTTATTGTATGTCGATTATAACATGTAACATTTCTATAAAATGGACAAACAAAAACAGCTGGTACAATAATCATACCTCATGTCAACCAGCTACATTGCTTTTCTTGTGGTGATAGCAACAGTGCAGGTTAGAAAATGAAAAGGAGACAAAAACGCAAATAACTGATTACATGACAGGAAAAAACCAAAGGAAATACACAAATACTAGAACTACTATGTATGATCTTTGATTTTACCTCAGTAATTAACTATTTAAACGATCTGCTAATCATGGTAACTTACGCCTTATAACGTCCAAAGATTCCGATTTAAAACCTTGAACTGGTTGGAACTCTCACTGCTCCTGTGGCAGACATGGCACCTGTTCGCTTTCTTCTAAAATATACAAATGAACCGCTTAACAGAAGCATACAAAACATAATCCCCTGCCATGAATATTTCAGGATGTGTCAAAAAAAATTAAAAAGTAACGAGAGATATAAGGAATAACACCACAGAGTGCTCAAGCTAAATTAATCTTCTACCAGTTCTAGGACAAGACACCATGTTGCTGCAATCAAAGCACTATAAACCCATAATTCCTCATCTACTAATAAATTCACTGGCAATAACTCCATCTCTAGGACTACATCGGTCTCTCTGGGCTGCAAAATAGCTCAAACACGAGTTTGTGTAGGTTTTTGTTTGTTTGTTTGTTAGTGGTGGTGGTGTTTTTTTAACTTGGGTCTTCAACATGTGTATTGCAGCCTTGTCTTCCATCCGCAGAAACTTTAGGAGCTTATATAAGGAAGAGGGAACTAATTGGAAGGAACATATTGGAATGGTCTTGCCTTTTGCTTGGACCTATTGAATGACCAATGTCAAACTGGAAGCCTTCTAAGCCTACCCGACCAGTACTATTACTATATTGCACAAGACAACAAGGCTAGCTGAAACAGCGGTGAAGCCAGAGTTTACTCTCAATGGGGGCAACTATCAAGGTTAAAGAGAATGACCAAACTACAATTATCAAAATGCGTTGCAACTTGCAAACAAATGGTAAGCAAGTCTGTTAGCGGTTAAGTTTGGATTATATTTTGAGTGATCCGAATATAAATTTGATTTAAAAACTAGCTCTGAATTCTGATCTGATTATCCAATGGATAGTATCCATATCCAAATCCTTCAAATATTAGAAATCCGATCGAAGATCTAATATGATATGTGACTCAACTAGAGTTGAATTTTAGCAAATTACATCTTAGTTTCAATTCAATTTTCTCAAGTAACCACCAAATTTCATCATATCTTTATATATGTATGCACAATTATATCGAATTTCGGCATATTCAAATTTGAATCTGTGGAATATGATATAGTAAATTCAGACTAGAATAATTGGTTATAAATATCAATTCGTATCGGTCTAACCGAATTTAGAATCGGATCAAGTTCAGATTAAAATTTGATATAGTGACAGGACTAATGATGGGTGTTGATTGGCTTTCAATGAAACCGTAAGCCTTGAGGGAAGAAAAGAGAACAAGTATCAAGTCGTGTGAGGGATTGGCTCTTATTCGAATAATGTAAAATGAACATGTTTTCTCAATCTTAGAATTCAGTGCATACATGTAATACATAAAAGATGTACAGAAGATGCGTGTATATGCAAGTAATTTATGCTAGGATTAATTCATGATGATACATGTACAAAATGTCTCTTTTTACCCTTTATTTTCTATGATTATCCACTTTAGTAATTAGGGTATGAAATATAGTCAACTCCTAGGGTTTTTAATAATACTCTATTATTATATGACAAGTGAAAACTTATAAATTCTTAAATAATCACATTAAATCGGTTGACACCACGCTAATTCCTGAACTCATGACCATTGACCCAGCCACTCTGCTGGTTGGTGTTGCAACTCAATTTAGTAACTATGAAATCAATGTCTAGATTTGACCCCTAAGCTTGGCAAGAACTATTAAACTTCTTAGACTGACTCTTAGAGTATTGACCCATTATGATGCAAGAATCAAAGCATTGAATGTCCTCCATTGTTACTGAATTAACTGTACTCATAACTTCATATCTTGGATTGCATCAGAATATATCTTGGATTGTGATACGCCTTGAATCACATCATAGATGCAGATGAATTGCAATGACGTGATTAAAAACCTACTAACAGGCCACAAAACAAAATCATGACCATAGGGCAATGCATTAGATTGTTCAAGTGATATGGAAATGCTGCTATGACTGCCACTGTTAATCGGTTGTGTCAGTAGAAAGTGCTACAGCATTCTACTTTAAAGTTGTGAAGGCATTTCTGTCAGTCACCAATTGCATAAGTACATTAATAAAGATCACACTAACAGGGGCACACCGAAAAGTTCAAACATACCTCAAAACCAAGTACTGATAGCTTCTCTTCATCAACTGCAGGTATACAGCTTCTGTACGTAATGTAAAACTGTGAGCCACCATCTGATGTGGATGAACCATCCAGCATAATCCTATGTGTTAGTGAAATAGTTAGCTCTTCTGTATTATGTAACATGGCCTGTGGTTTCACTTCATTAATAGTGTTTTCAAGAGCAGATCGACCATTCTGCCTTTTTTTGCTGTCTTTTTCCTTTGAAGCGGCTCCAACTTCTACACATTTCAAAGGGAGACGATATCCAGTTTCACTGCAGCGATATTTCTCATCATTCTACAAGAAAACATGCAACGTGAACACTAAGTATACAAAAATAAAACATGTCAAAAAGATAGGAAGTGAAATAGATTTTATAAACCTCGCTCTCTCTCTCTCTCTCCAACATTTGGTAAGAAGCAACCTGACCTTAACCCTCCTAACCCATAGGCACAAAAATGTACAGCTAGACATATTCATGAAAGAGGTTCACTTTAAGATTACAGAACTGAAGGAGGTGTTGTAACAAAAGCTAACATTCTTGTGGATCAACATATAACTATTTTGGGTCATGTTCTAACTGGGGTCACGTTACAAAAATAATAGTTAGGAATCTAGGATCCATTCCAAACAACCCCTCTTCGTTGTAGCCTCACCAGTTTATATTGTAACTCACTTTCTTTTCAGCTACGTTGATACAGTACCCAAAAACAGCATTTCGGTAATGTAGCCTTACCATATGCCCAAATGTCATTCACTCACATAGTTGCATGACAAAATCTCATGGGCTAAACCAAATCACCAGTAAGATCCATTTAGCCTCAGGTTGAACAAACGCTAATAGAATTAAAAAAAGAGAAACAACCTATAAAACCCAATTGAGTTCACTATAAACCCCATCAAACTACTGCAAAGCACAACAAATTTAATGAACCACCATCACAGGTCCAAACCTTCGTCTGCATTTACATATCTAATTATTTATAGGTAGCGAAAATCTAACATTGGATTTCTCTACCAAGCACAACAGAAACGAGCCCTCATGTAATCACATGAATTTTCCCACGTTTCGGCTAATGCACTTCAGTCATCAATATAAGGGGTCCACGAACTTGAATCTTATTTAGTACAGTGGTAAAAGCTCAGGCAAAAACTTGCAAGGTTGGATTGAATATGAGGACAGCATCATTCAGTGCAAAAAATGTCAATACCTGGTTCTTTATCCAGTCCACCGTCCCTACCACCCTCCATCACAACTCACGGTATCAAAATTGTGTATGTGTTTGTGTAGAGAGAGAGAGAGAGAGAGAGACCTTTTCAGAGTAAGCGCAGGCAACGCAAGGACCCGAACGAGAGCAATCGAAAGTAACATTGCCACCTGCAGCAGTTTCCTTAAAACTCATCAGAATTCGTCGCCCAAATACTCCACGTGCAACTTCTCTTCTTTCTCTTACACTGCTCCTGAGAATTTCAAATCAAAACCCGAAGTCCACAACAAACCATGGGGGATCACAATTTCAACAATGAATCAGAGATAGAGAGAGAGAGGGGGGGGGAGAAATTGACTTACGTTTCGTGCCGTAGAGAGATATGTGAAGAGGTAGAGACAACGACGATATTCAATAGAGTAACTGAGAGAAGGAAGAGGAGCAACGGTGGCGAACTTGAAGAAGCCATGGCTTGCTTTGCTTGTCTTCGCCTTTTGGCCTTTCTCTCTCCTCCCTTCGTCTGAATTGATGGATTTCCCAATTCGTAGACGGTAAACCCGTTTTCCTTTGATTCATTTTATGCATAATTACGCATTTGGCCTCTATGCTTTGGTTCGATTGCACATAATACCCTCTATGGTTCAAATATTAGGTAATTACCCCAATGTTTTTGCCCCTTGTGGAAAAAAAGGATGAATTGTAATTTACCCCCTATAGTTTGTTCTTATTGCATTTTTTCCTCTATAATTAAACAATCACTATAACCCTTATGCACGTTTGCACTAGTAACAAAGTCAGAAAATTCAAACTGAACTGAAGGCCTGAATCAAAACTATTAAGTGAAAGTATTAAAATTTATGGAGCTAATAAATATTATATAAAATTTAATAGAAACAATTTAATTTTGAGGAACTTGGAGGCCGGTCCCTATGCTCAATAGGATTCCAAAAAAAATCCAATCAGCCAATTTTCTTTTGGATTAAGTCCCTGTTAAGAAGTTAAAGTAATAGATATAATTAATGTCTTTTATAATTGCAAATAATAATAATAATGTCAGCACTTAATTTAAACATCTTTTCTAAAAAGATATTTTATCATAATGTACATTTTTCTTTATAAACACAAATCGTAAGACAGGTACACTAAAAAAAAACAGACACACAATTAAATATATATATCTATATATTAAAGTAGCTAGATTGTTTGTTTTGAACTTTTTGCGGCTCAGATCGTTTTGATCCGATGGTCCTAATTGGACTTTCATTTCTTTTACAACTTTAAGACTCTCATCTCTCATATAATTTTTTTTTTCTCTCTCTCATACTCATACTGTTGTTTTTTTTTGTTTCCTCTGTGTTATTTTTTTTTTATCATTTACTCCATAAAGAATATGAAGTTACATGCTATGCAATTATTTATTCCATGAAACTAACTCAAAGTTTTTATATATCTGACAGCATTTATTTTACCACTTGCTTCTTAATTTGTAAATAACACTTAATGTAAATCAAAAAATAGCACACTGACTAGAAACATTAAATAATATTCAACACGAAATGAACCTTAGATTGTGAATTTATATATAATTTTATCAAAAAATGGCATTTAATTTTGTCTAATTTATATTCAACTTTGTCAAATTAATAACAAATTAATTTTTATTGTTATCAAATTAATATTAAAATTTATTTAATTAATTTTTTGGAGTACTAAATTATATCAATTTTTTGGATACTAAATCAAATTTGATTTGATTTTATTAAAATTTTAAATTTTTTTGGTATTGAATTTGGAGAAAGGCAATTGTAAAAATAATAAAATTTTTGAGATGAAATTATCAATTTTCGTTAGCAACATTGACAGAAGTGAGACAAAGAGAGTCTCTATGCAATGTATTTTAAACATCAGGGGTCTCCGTGTTATTTACAAAATGTAAGGAGGTGTCCGTGTAATATTACCAAACTCAGGCTATGTTCGTAATTTTTATCCAATTTTTTAATTAAATATTAATTTATTATTATTTTATCTTAAAAACTTGAATTATTGTATTTCTAATAAAAACATATATTGGTTAGGAAAGTTTGTTGGAAACCAAAAAAGAAATGTGTGTTGGTATATTTCTGTGTATATTTATTTATGGATGATTACAAATTTGGTGATTAAATTTATAATTATATTATGTCATTTTGGGGTTAAATGGTAATAGTGGTGATAAATTCATGACTTTTATAACTGAGCATGATTTGATTGATTTTATTTATCGCTTTAAGATTGTGAATTTAATTGTATTCTTTTAGTTTTTTTTTTTTTTGCTTGAGGTATTTATTACATGAGAATAGGGTGGATTGAAAATATGGTGGTTGAGTTTATAATTATGTTGTGTTATTGAATTGAGTGGTAGCAAAGGAGATAAATTCACGAGTGTTATAAATGAACAAGATTTTATTTATTACTTAAAGATTATAAATTTTAACGGGCTATGTTAGTATTTATTTTTTTTGAAAGGTATTTATATATATGGTGTTATTTTGGAAAGTTTTTATATATTTTTATGACAATTCCATTAATATAGAAGATATGATCAACAATATATTTTGAGTCATTTTAAAAAAAAAATTAATACGAATAATTTTATGTCATTCCTTTTAAATTTGAACAATTGTTTAAGATTTTTATGTTTATTATATAGTGTCTTCAGACACAGGTAATAACTTGTATGTATATATATATATATATATATACTTGGATGGCAAAACTCTTTGAAGCAAAACGCTTTGGTGAAGCCGAGCTTGTTCTGGTAGTGAAAATTGAAATCCTTATATAGGAGATAAGAATTTTTGAAAGAATCTTTGAAATGATTACTCTGATATCTTCAGTAGCTGCTTTTACTTTGGGTAAAGTTTTTCACGTTAGCCTTTCGGTGGGAAAGTGGAAATGAATTGTTTTTACCATAGTAAATGCTAACTTCTGGTGCAGGTGGGTCCTGTTGTTGTCTGAAGGAATCTACTTTCGTTGAAAAATAGATTTGACAATTGGCTGATGGCTGCTTTACTATGGAAAAGAGCCTGGTGTCAAATGATTTCTTACCGATATCTGTAATAGACAACTTTTTTTTCTTTTAAAGAAAGTAGTGATTGAAGCTATCACACATATGAACAAGTATCATTATGAAGTAGATATATCTACCAGATCATCATATCCTGTATACAGATCCTGACTGTCTTGGAAGGGATCCAATGTAGGGGTGACTAATGCTTGTGAGGAGACAGAGGAACTGTTTTCACTAGTGGCTTGTTGAAGAAGCTTTTGTGCTAACTCTATGAGGGCAGTAGACTTTTTCTTGGATTGTTTGCTAGAGTCCTTAGAGGAGGACTTCTTCTGCTTAGACTCTTCTGTAGTGGATTTCTTGAGCTCTTCTGGAGTAGAAATCCGGAGAGAAGACATGACTTGCTTGACTGGAGTTGCAGGGGTTAAGGTTACTAGAATCGCTACTGGGGTTGGAACCTTGATTGGGAACTCTTGTCTGACAAGATCAACTATTGGTCCTTGCTGGAACCTGGGCCACCCATTTGACATAGAATTGTCTAGCGACATTATAACCAATAATTTCTTATTTTCATTTGCATATCCATGAGACTTTGTACCTGCAAATAAATGTTAGTAAAATAGAAAATTAACTCTCATGTTTACTAGGCTGGTAAACAGAGGAGAAGGCTATAATCTGATCTTGAAGATCAGCTGGAAAGATTTCATGAATGGGGCCGTGAATAAACCACCACTGTGTGGACCAGGACGGAATCTGGTTCTTGAAATCTTTATGGAACTGTAGGAACCAGAAATGATCTAAAGAATCATTCTGGTAGAGGATAATCTTATACCATAATTCTTTGTAATCATAGTAATTAAATTTTCTCTTATGATAGGGTAATCCCGGAGTGAAGAAGGATGAGATCCCCAATCTTTGAGAGAAATAATTTTTAAAATATTCAAAAAATGATAAATAAATTTACTCGGATCATTTTTATCAGGTATGTGCTTGACAAAAATGAACTGAGTATAAAACAGTATATCCTGATAGAACTGAAAGGTCTTTTCAGGATCAGATGGAATAAAGGTCCATCCTGGTTCAAGGTAAGCAGTGACTAAGTCCATTGAGTTGCTTAAGTGAGCATGGACTGGTTCAATAGCAAATATGTATTGGGTATAAGCTTTGATGTAGTCAACCTTTGGGCCTTTAGGGACAAATTGTGGTTAGTTTTGATAATATGGGTTCACTAATTGGCTAGAAGTGTCAGGTTGGGCTGGTGCAATATGTCTCAAGGCCTGCTGGGTCATATGAAGGAAAGTGTTAGGTGTCATTGTGGTAGTTTTGGCTATTGGCCTTGTTGGGTTAGGATTACCAAGGGGTTGGAAACGGTTGGTAATCTGGATAGCAGAGGATAAAGGTTTTGGGCTTGGCAAGGCTAACTGTTTATCCAGGTTTGCCTTTTCTTGGGCAAATATCTGACTAAATTTTTATTTTCCTGTATCCCTCCCAGCTTTGGAAGAGGTACCAGCGTTATTGTTTTTCCTGTCCGCCATGAGGTTCCTGTATTCTTGCAACTAAGGCTGAGGGTAAAGTCTGGAAAGCAGTTAAAATAAACTGGTCCGTTATGGAGACCAGTCTCCATTATTCCTATAATGCTAGGTTCATATTCTATGAATCTGGAATCTCTTAGGGTTAACAGAGCTGCTACATCTTTACCAGGTGAGTACTATAATTTGTTTGTGCCTTATTTCAGATACCAGAGTGGAAACGAACAATTTGCTCTGGGGAGTCTAGAGTAAGTTTTTGAAGTAAGATACCACCGTAGTCAATGTTAGAGGCATCAGTTTGGATGATTTTAAAGGAATCAACCGAAGGAATACCAAGGCAAGACAAAGTTTTAATGAATTGCTTGACTTGTTGAACTATGGATGTATGAACAGATGTCCAAGGAGAAGGATTTCCTTTGAGTCTGTCATATAGAGGTTTGACGGTTTTCCTAAGATCTTGATAGAAGTCAGAAACATAATTTAGGGAGCCTAAAAACCTTCTTCACCATAATTAAATATTTTGTTGGCACACCTAGTAACATTGAAGCTAGAGTCCATGACTAGCTTAGTAACCTTAGGTGCCCAACACTTAGTGATTTCAAATGATACAAAGATGTATTCATCTCTAAAGTTATGCTTAGGCTAGACTGTGATAAATCTTTCTGGAAAGAAAAGTTTGTCAATGACCTACCCAATCTCTTCGCCCATAAAATTAGGAAAACACTTAGTAAAGATACTGAAATCATTGAATATGATTCACTAACCTACGGTGACGTTGTTAGTACTATCCAAAAGGAAGGCCTTAAGATGTGTATTGACATGAAGATCCAAAAATAATTAAAAAAAATGAGAAAAAGAAGGCTAAATATGAAATGGGTAATTTCTGTGAACAATATGGTCTCCCTTCAGTAGCACCATTCCGCAGAAAAACCAAATCACATAAGCCTTATAGTCGATCTAAAAGCCACTACAAACGTAGTAAAAAGACTTTTAGTAAACCTACTTATTATGCTGAATCTAGCAAAAAACTCAGAAATCCTTATAAGCGTAAAACTTATAAGAAAAAATTTGGGAAAAAAGCTAAAACAGATTCAGATATTAAATGTTATAACTATGGTAAAAAAGGCCATAAAACCCCAGATTGCCCAGTTAAAAAACAAGTCAAAAGATTAAATTTAACCCAAGAAGATGAAGAGAAAATTCTCAATATTTTTAGGTTAAACAATCTTCCCAATAGTGAAGAAAATTCAGATGACTCGAACAGCTCTAAAAATTCTTCAGACTATCAATCAACCTCTAGCAACCCTAGTGAACCTAAAATCAAGTTAGGATGTAAAAATAGTTGTCTCTATAAAACTGTTAGGGTAATAACCAAACAGAATGAGGAAGAACATATTCTTATTGATTTAATTAGTAAAATTGAATACCCAGATTTAAAGCTCAAATATATCAAAAAATTAAGAGATTTGTTTGTTAAAAAAGACACAAATCAAAAACAGTTAATCAGTATTAACACCACAATAGAAAGATTCAGTTAGGAGAAAAAGAAAGAAATCACCTTAGAAGATCTCCAAAGTGAAGTTAATAAAATTAAATCTGAAATAAAAGAATTAAAAATTCAAGACAAGAGACTTGCTGAAGCTTTAACTCTTTTAACAACAGATAGTCTTGACAACACAAAGGACTTCAATCTTGAAAAATAGCCACTAGTTGAAGAACAATTTGAAATAGAATCTCAGGATGACACAGACTTACAGGAGATACTCATAACCTCCATCTCTCTAGTGGATCCTTTGGGTGTAACGAACCTGCCATCTCACGATGGATGTTCCCAGACTAATGATGATCATATGATCAATCTAGTTAATAAAATTAATTTCTAAAAATGGCATTCTAAAGTAAAAATCATCATTAATAATGATTTTGAATTAGAAATCATTGCCTTAATTTATACTGGTGCAGATGTAAGCTGCATCCAGGAAGGTATTATCCCAACTAAGTATTATCAAAAAACTATTGAAAGACTTAGTTCGGCAAATGATAGTAAAATAAATGTTAAATATAAACTACCAAGTGTGCATATCTGTCAAAATAATGTATGTTTTAAAATATCATTCATCTTAGTAAAAGATATGACTGATGGGATAACCTTCTTCTGCGTTTGGACATCAGAAGTCTCTCCTTTGAGTACATCAACAAAATTGGCTTCAAAGATAAATCCACAAGACGTTCTATCCTAGCAACATCAAGAACTGCAGCTCGAACAGTGGAGCCAGTTTCCAAAGTTATCCCACTTACTGCAAAGAATTGTTGCACAGAGCATTACTTATTGAAACACAATAAATTTATCATCACTTTTCAACAGAAAGGACTTACACTGATAGTGTGTTATGAAGCCAAAAACATCATTATACTTCCGAAAACTGACAACAACTCCAAAATCCTTTGTCTCATGAACTTTTCCTTCGACAACATTACCAATATTAAAATTGTCAACCCATTCTAACTCAGAACCCTTGGAGTGGGATGATTGCAGCTTGGCAATCTGGATCAAAAAATAAGATCAGAACAAATTGACCCAAGATTCCTCAAAAGTATCATGGAATTATATATGCATGAATAAATCATTACAGCTAAAAAATAAAAACATATATGAACCCATTGTGTATTTATTGTATCTTTTTACAACAGATACAAATGATGTAACCACGAAACCACTTGGTTAGACAGTAACATTCAAGTTTACAATCAAACCAGAAGTTAGAAAATTAAGACAACTTAAAGATCATTCAATCTCTAAGTATCTTAATCTTATTAACCAAAAAACTAAGCAAGTGAAATTTCTCAAAGAAAAAATTAATCACAAAAGAATTCAGGAACAGTTAACAAACTCAATCTTAATTGGAAAAATTAACCTGTTCAAAGAAAAACTTGAAGTAGAAGTATGTTCTAACCTTCCTACAGCGTTCTGGTATAGGAAAAACATATGGTAAAGCTTTCGTATATTAAAGGATTTAAGCAACAAAATTTTCCAACTAAATCCAAACCCATCCAAATTAGCCATGAAGTAATGGAAATCTGCAAAAAAAAAAAAATTTCTGAATTACTTAAAAATGGTATCATTAGGAAGAATAAATCTCCTTGGTCATGCCCAGCTTTCTATGTCATCAAAAATACAGAATTAGAAAGAGGTGTACCAAGACTAGTAATTAATTATAAACCTTTAAATTCTGTATTGGAATGGATCAGGTACCCAATTCCAAACAAATAGGATTTAATTAAAAGACTTAGTAACTCAGTAATTTTTTCTAAATTTGATTTGAAAAGTGGTTATTGATAAATCCACATATATCTAGAAGATAGATATAAAACTACATTTACAACTCCTTTTGGCCATTACTAATGGAATGTAATGCCCTTTGGATTAAAAAATGCATCTAGTGAATTTCAAAATATAATGAATGAAATTTTTAATTCCATTAATCATTTTTCTATAGTCTATATAGATGATATTCTCATCTTCTCCAAATCTATAGAAGAACACTGGAAATACCTCTATGCATTCCTTGAGATTGTCAAATACAATGGTCTTTTCATCTCAACTAGTAAAATCAAGTTGTTCCAAACCTCAGTAAGGTTCTTAGGATACAACATCCAGCAATCCACTATTGTTCCTATCAGTCGATCTATCCAATTTGCAAATAAGTTCCCTGATGAGATCACTGATAAAAACCAGTTTCAAAGGTTCTTAGGTTCCCTAAATTATGTTTCTGACTTCTATCAGGATCTTAGGAAAATCGTCAAACCTCTGTATGACAAACTCAAAAGAAGTCATTTTCCTTGAACATCTGTTCATACATCTATAGTTCAACAAGTTAAACAGTTCATCAAAATTTTGCCTTGTCTTGGTATTCCTTCGGTTGATTCCTTTAAAATCATCCAAACTGATGCCTCCGACATTGGCTACGGTGATATCTTACTTCAAAAACTTACTCCAGACTCTCTAGAGCAAATTATTTAGTTCTACTCTGGTATCTGGAATAAGGCACAATCAAATTATAGTACAATTAAAAAAGAAATTTTAGCTATTGTCCTGTGTATCTCGAAATTTCAGGATGATATACTAAACTAAAAATTTTTAGTAAGAGTAGACTGCAAATCAGCAAAGTATGGTTTGGAAAAAGACGTACAAAACATTGTTAGTAAGCAGATTTTTGCTAGATGACAATCTATTTTAAGTATTTTTGAATTTGATATCGAGTATATTAAAGGCAGTAATAATTGAATCCCTGATTTTCTAACCCGTGAATTTTTGCAGGAACCTCATGGCGGACAGGAAAAACAATAATTCTGGTACCTCTTCCAAAGCCGGGAGGGATACAGGGAAACAAAAACTTAGTCAGATATAATGTCTTCAGACACAGGTAATAACTTGTATGTGTATATTAATCGATGCAAACGTGCGTTACACGTTAAAAATTTGATTTTGAATTGTAATTTTTTTTATTGATGTTACGACTATAAAAATAATATCTAGCTATTTTAACCCATATACTAATAACTTCCGTGTGTAGTAGAAATATATATTTAATTATCATGACTCAAAATAATTAGCACGAATTAATAGTGACGCATAGACAAAAAATACTTCATATTGAACGGGTCCAGACCGCTTGAATTTGACTAAGGTGAGGACATAAAGAACTTCAGTTGGTTTACCATTAAATAGCATTATCATAAGGCAAATGCCATAACCAGCAAAAAAAGAAGAAGAAGGAGAAGAAATTGGAAAATGCCAATTTTATCAAATTTGAGAATCTAATTTATTATAACCATTAGATTGAAGGTGAGTTTCATTTAACGTTAGAACTCACAATTAATCCAATACTTGTATTGAATTAGATCTCTGATTAAGTTCCCAAATTAAGTGTCTACAGCATTGCTCTTATAATAGACAATATTGTCAAATATATATTTTTTATTTTACTCGGTGTTGACAAAGACAAACCATTTCAAAAAAATTAAGGCTCCAAACAACCTGGGTGCACCCATATCATCAACCAAGTGATCAAGCCAGATTAGTTTCAAATGATAAACAAGATGGTCAGAAGTCTAGAGGTCCTAAGTTTCCAGGTGTTAGGTCCAAAATGCATGACTACACGTATACCTAAACCGGTCAAAATTTGAAGGAAACTACTACTAAAGATTAGCATGAGTTTTTTCTGTCCAGCACAAATAGAAAATCAATGCTTTGTATGTTCCATTCCACTAAGAAAACTCCTAAACCAATAACTTGAAACAACTGATACAATACTAATATATAAAAATAATTAGCAGCATAGTCTTGTAAAAAAAAAAATTCTGTGATCAAGAGCATTGTTAGCATAAAAGCTCATGCAATAAAGACAGTAACTGTCTCGCTCAAATGGTTAATGATTGTAATGTCTCAATAGGGTGCATCTTTAGGTGATCGGTGGTTCTTCATGGGCTTTGCAAGAGAAATCAACCAAGAGGTTTGGTCGTTTTCGAGACAATGAGCCTAATATTAGCATTTTAAGGGAGAAGAAGCGGCGAAGTGTATGAGGTGAAGGTCTTTTTTTAAGAGAGACCTATGACTTTCCTGCAAAGAAATAACTCTTAAATGAGAAGACTATTAAATAATCACAAACAACTACATTTATTCTTTAGGGAAGTTGGAAAGTCTGTTAAACGGAAAGACCATTAAAAAACCAAAAACTGCAATTATATCTTGGAAGAAGAAAAGATAATAGCTAAAAAAGAGACCAATTAAATTCCCGAACGGTTACATTTTGAATTGTTCAACTGAATGAAATATAATGGACCATAAAAAAATTATTAATGTTAAAATAGGTAATCAAAAGTTTTATTGAATAGCTGCCTTTTAATAGTAAAAATATATATATATATATATATACCTTCGAGCAAAAAAAAAAAGATGTATGCAATAAAAAATAACAAGTATGCAATAATCGTCAGACTGGTACACTAAAACATAAATTGTCAGACAGGTACACAAAAATACAGATCGCTAATATACCTTCTTCTCCATAAACACATATCGTTAGACAGGTATACTAAAAACAGATCGTCAGACATGTACACTAAAATATAGATCGTCAGACATGTACACTAAAATACAGATTGTTAATGTACATTATTCTCTATAAACACAGATCGTCAGAAAGGTACACTAAAATACAGATTTTCAGACGCGATCATAATGTCCAAAAATAGTTTGGTTTACGAGTTTGAATTTCAAAACGAATAGAGAACACAGTAAAAACTTTAATAACAAATGCAAAAAAAAAAAAAAAATTATATTTTAGGCTGAAATCATGTAATGAGAATAAAATAAATAATAAAAATTAGTAATTAACCAATCCCATAACATTTGCGCTAACGCAAGGACCGTATTCAAGTTTTTCCAAAAACTAAAGGACCTTTTTTATACTAATATTATTAATTTACACACACTTGATGGGCCTTGACTTCCCCAAGCCCAACTCAACTCCCTTCTCATTTTGTACTCGAGTGTTATTTGTTACTAAGTTTATCAGTTGGTCTAATGATTATTATCACCATCTCCTCACTATTAGACCTTAATATCACGAATTTGAATTTCGTCATTCTCCAATATTAAGACATGAATTATTTTGAAAAGAAACCCATTAATAGCATATTCAAAGTCATCCTTAATGCAATGAAAGAGAGGGAGGACCACACACAACTTCGTGTGGAGCCACTGGGGTGGGGAACTCCAGTAAATAAGGTTTGAATAGTACACTAAAGGAAAGACCAACTAGGAGTATGCCCCTAATAGAGTAGGAAATGATTATATCAGCCATTCGGAAATAAGTCATACTATTACTTTAAGCAGGAGCAAGACAGTATGCAATCAATCAATGGAAAGGAGCCTCAGCAGAAGAAAAAAAAATTGTGCTGGCTTTACTGACTTTTCTACTATGTGCTTGGAGCCCTGATACAGTGTGTTGTCTTTGTAAGAAAAAACCTACAAGTTTTGGTCTTGAAATGGAAAAAGAAAAATATGCATCTTGGTTTGAATTTAGCAGTGAAATTAAAAAAGGTAAGACTGCGGGGTCTGAGGGAAACCAAGTTAGCGAAGCCAATCTGCCACTAATCACTTTCTGCATTAATCAGGCACCCATGGAGGAACTGGAAAGGTGAATTGACAGGGAATTTCTAGCAGTTTAGGAGCAGCATTCACTAATCGATTATTCCAAGAAATAAACAAGTAATTTAGCTCTCCCAAATTGGATCACGAATGGCCTCCAAAAGAACCGATAACTATGCTCTAGGCGCAGGCGCAACGCAGAGGAATAATTAACATGATCATAGAGACACTACATCAAAATGCTAAACTAGATAGATTATGCCTAGCAGAGTAAAAGATCACCAAACTGCACAACCACCAAAGTAGATACAGGGCATCGGTGCAATGACAGTTGTCATAAGAATCAGAACATGTACATTACAGAATACAAATGGAGAATGATCCTGAACCTCCAGTGGAATCTATACCACTTACCCCAATAGATTTCCTGTGTCTGGCATTAGATGTGGAGATGCTGAGAATCCTCAAATGTTGGAAACATTTAGTATTCTTTTTAATCATAAATCCCCATAGCTAATCCTCATGGTCATGATATTCTTTATCGAAAATTAATGGAAAATCAGCATAATGTTCAGAGAAACCATGCTCCTCGGCCATGCTCTTCAATGACTTGTAAACATTGTCCATAGAGGGCCTATCCTTAGGCCTAGGAATCACACAAGAACAAGCAATCCTAAGGAATTGCAAAATTGTATCATTGTGACCTTTTCCATGTAAGGACGTATCAATGGCATCTTCACTGCGACTAGAGCCCGAGAGATGATTGACCCAATCCACCAGGCCCCCTTTGAAACCTTCCTCCGTATTCACTTCAAGAGGCTTCTGCCCAGTCACCAACTCTAAAAGCACTACCCCGAAACCATAAACATCCCCTTTCATAGATGCAACCATAGTGCTTGAGTATTCGGGAGCCACGTAACCCAACTCCCCCAAGTCTCCATTAACAAAATCGCTACCATTTAAACCAACAGAACCCATTAGCCTTGCCAAACCGAAATCCGTAATCCGAGCATCAAAATCATCATCCACAAGAATCACATTTGAGCTAATGGTCTGGTGCAGATAAGGCGGTTGACACCCGTGGTGAAGCCAAGCAAGCCCCCTCGCAGCACCAACACCAATCCTAAGCCTTGCCGGCCAATCCAACAAAAACTGACTATTCCAAGCACCACTAGCATTTCCATGCAAAAGTGAATACAAGCTCCCATTAGGCATATGCTTATACACCAAAAGCCTCTCGTCCTCCGCCACACAGAAACCCAACAAAGGCACCAAATTGGGGTGTCTGAGCTGCCCTAACATATTCATTTCCGACCGAAACTGTTTCTCGCTAAGCTTACAAGCACTCAACCGTTTAATTGCCAACACTGACCCATCTGGCAGCATTGCCTCATAGGAAACCCCTGTTCTGTTCGAAATGACAATATTATCATGATCAAAATCATCAGTAGCCGCCAATAAATCATTCAACTTAATCTTGTTAATGGGTTTCTGAAACAATGTCACCTGAACAAGCCTGTAAGCCCTCAATCTCTCAACCCAATTACTCTCACCTTTACCACCACCACCATACCCTCTTTTATTTTTCCTACTGGATCGAACAAAGAACCACCACCAAATCCCAAAAGCAAGAAACAATGACCCTGCAGCACCAAGAACCCCCGCAGCTATAATAATAGCTAAACTTCTAGTACTCAAACCACCACATTTTGACCCTAATGGCTTCCCACACAACCCATCATTCCCCCCAAAGTCTTCCTTAGGAAATTTCGATAAATCAGCCGGAATTGAACCCGATAAACCATTATTAGCCACAGAAAATTTCTTAAGCCTGTCAAGCCGACCGAGTTCATAGGGGATTGAACCAGACAATTTGTTATCATTCAAAAAAAGAGTGTTCAAGAACTTACAATTCACCAACTCTTGAGGCATCGACCCAGAAAGAGAATTACCAGACAGATCTAAAGTCACAATATAGGGTAACCAAGTACAAATTTGGGGTGAGATCGAACCGGAGATAGAGTTACCTGAGAGATCGAGTGCCTGGAGGGACTGACAGTACTGTAGAGAGGAAGGTATGTTTCCGGAGAGGCTCATGGAGGGTAGTGCCAAGGAAAGGAGACGATTCTCTTGCTCGTTCCAGCATGAAACTCCGGTGAGCTTGCAAATGAATGAGGCTGAGATGTTGGTGAAGGACCATGCCGAGAGCTTGTCGAATGGGTCGGAGAGAGAAGATTTAATGCCTTCAAGGCATTTGACATCGTCTTCGATTGAAATGGAGGGGTTGGTGAGGAGGAAAAGGAGAGAGATGGCGAGGAATGGGTGGAGATTCATGGTGATTTTGGCGGGTGGGTTTGGTGGTTTTTGCTAGGGTTAGTGTTTGGAATTTGGATTATTGTCTGCTGATTTGGTGGGATAAATGGACGGCCATCGACTGAGCTTAGGCCCGGAGAGAGAGACAACAATTATCTGTAGCCTGATTTGGTGGGATAAATGGACGGCCATCGACTGAGCTTAGGCCCGGAGAGAGAGACAACAATTATCTGTAGCCTGCTACAGGTAATTGTTGTCTTTGTTAATTTTTAATTTCCTTTTTTGCCCTTTTGTTAATTGTATTTCAACTATTCTTCTGCTGTTTTTTATAGGAAATTTGCTTTTGGGGTATAAATTTTCTTTTAAAGAGATTAATTTTTTTTTTAGAAAATGCTATTTAGACCTAATTTGAAGATCTTATTTAGAGACCTAATGATATATGGTTTGGTTGTGGACTCCATGTAAAATTAAAACTTACAACTAATTTAATAATTACATTGAAGCCACATCATTGCTCTTTTCTTTTTTGTTTACGCAAGAGAGTCTATATTCACATGAAGGATAAGGTTTTTCAGGAGATGAGGTACTCAGACTCAGCTCTGATAAAACTCAACTTGAGTTCGATTCGTGTTTCTAAACGAGTTGAATTTGAATAATTGTTTAGGCTTATTAGAAAAAAAGAGTCTAAAAAGTTCAACTCGTTTATATGTCAAATAGTTGAACTACTCAGACTCGGTTCAGACTTGGGTTCAGCTTGAATTCAAAACAAACTAAACTTGAATAATTTTGTAGACTCATTTAAAAAAATTAGCTCGACAAGCTCGGGTTGAAGCTTGCAAAGCTCGATTCAATTAACACCTCTAGTTATAGATATGTTCGAGATCTAGTATTTTTTCCCCAACAGAGTGTTCAAATTATTGTATCTCGGCCAAGTTTAAGAATATAATCCCTAAAAAATAAGGGTGACCAACCTGAAAATATAAAAAATATTAAACCTGATATCTTTTAATTGCAAGACCAACTTAACCACTAGAAAAAAACATTGTTCTACCAATAAATGGGTTTAGTCAGACGCATTTTCCGTCTTGAAACTGCAATCGTTTTTTCTGTTCTTTTCTTTTTTTATTCACTTTTTCCATCTTCATCTCCATTTAACTTGATCACAATATTTGACATATACATTCACATGATGTGATTTTGTGGTTTAGATGAACGAAATTCCGTCATATTTTGAAGCTCACTATTATCTTTCTTGACACATGCACATAAATTTTGCCAGAAATCGATAGAGGATTCAATCAGAATTCATCATAAATTTAGTCGTCTTGAGTTTGAATCTCGATAACTCATAGAGGTCAAATTATGAAGATGAGTACCCTAATCTCAGTATGAATAATCTACATTTGATTGAATCAGAGAAGAGATTAATCGAGGTGCGCGTAAGCTGACCTGAACACCCCTGTCAATTGAATAAACAAAAAAATCCAGCTAGTTTTTATATTATGAACAATAATATTATGACATAATCTATTAAGCTAATTTATTATAACTGTTTAATTAAGTGTGGATCCCATCAAAACGTTGAAATTGATGTCAAATTCAATAAATTAGTTTAGATTTTTAGGTAATCACATGATTTAATAAAGAGTAATGTAGTTGAGACCTAAATAATTAATCTAATTTGTTGATATAATGATGTGATCTAATGGTGCTATTGTAATTTTAACTCTTTGATTTTTTAAATCAGTAATGGGACTCCACCCATTAACACAAAATTTGGTGATTGACAACAAAACAGCCCAAGAAGCTTACAACTCAGAATCAGTTTTCTCCTTGTTTTTTGCTCGATGCTCATTCATTAAATAATGGCATAAAGTTTTTTTTTTTTTTTTTTTTGGGGGGGGGGGGGGGTAAATAAATAATAGCATAAAGATGAAACCAAAATCCACCTCTCTTTAAAATTAATTACCCAAATTTCTAGGGTTTAATTACGATATCAAAAAAAAAAATCGCATCATTTATTATTTTTAAAGTAAAAAAATTCAACATTTTTAGATAGAATTTGCAATATTTTGATATATTTTTTACTTTTCTGTACATATCCAAAGTTGAGTAATGCTAAGGATCTTAAATTAATAATAAACCCCTTGAATCAGTAAGTCCGTTAATTGTTTTTTTTTAATAGGACCCACTAATCTGGTGCCCTTACTCAATTTTAGATTCCAAATTTGGAATGTGAAGTATGACCCCCAAATTTTCCCAAATTTCTATTTGGAAGCGGGAACTCTTTCGAGTCCCATCCCGTTAAACCCAAACTACCCTTACCGTCCGTCCTCATGGTTTCTCTTTCCCGCGCTTTATTCTGGCTTCTTTCAACTTCCAGGTTGTATATATAGTCTCAGCACAATTCTATTTCTATTTATGTTCTTTCTCCCAATAGCATTGTTATCTATACCTATACTATACTACTTTAAAATGTCAAGATACATGAAAAATTTTATTTTGACACTTTTGTCCTCCAAAATTTTAAAAAATGTCAAGATCATAATTAGAATTGAAATACCAATTGGGTCATTGAATATTTCACATTCATTATTATTGTATTTATTTAGTGTATATATAAATACACTAAATAACTTCCAATATTTTATTTAGTGTATGTTAACTCTTCATCTTCCAATATTTTTATGATATTATTATGATATAAGATAAACGAAATATCATATTCTCGTCTCCGATCTCAAAATAGTTAGCATAGAAACTCTTCTTACTACTATTACCATAACCATAAAATCTCAGTTATCCTTCAAAACTTTTGTTTTTCTTTTTCACTCCTCAACGTTATAAGTAAGTCATCTTAGTCCATTGAATGTAAGTTAATTAGGTTAACCTAATTATTATTACTTGTTAAGTGTGCTTTGCTAAAATTACACCTTTTCATATCTCTGTCTTATTATATTAAATCACTCTATAGAAATCAGTCGGCAAATGTACCGATTTTGTTCCGACTCTCTTGATCTCTACTCTCCTGATTCTAATTTTAATTAGCAGATGTGTGCCTCATTTTTGCATTAAACTTGTACAGCTTCTTTGGGCTTCTTCCTTTTGCTCTCGTGCTCTATAAATTATGGGAATTAATGTGTGAAGTTGCAATGATTATATCAGTTACCAATTGAATTGAGAATAACTGAAGTTCTACAAATTTTCCCCTTTCATTTCATATGCCACCTTTTAAGTCATAGACTTTTACATCATCGCTTTCTCTCTTAGATTAGATTAGACGAGCACACACCATGTGCATTGCCATTGCGAAACCAAGGGGCTACTGCTTGATCAGGTACAAAGATATGTTTAATTCTTTTTTTTTTTCCCCCCACAGTGAATGACGCTTCAATATGAGATTGGTAAAAAGCTTTAAAAATATGTATGGATAAACCGTCTTTTTCGATTTGCTTCTGCACTTGAATTATGACTTAAGTTTGTGTTGCTTGATGATATTGTGTCTAGTGTTTCTGGGTTTTTACGTTTAATTCTGATTTCCATGTCATTCTTGGTTTTTGTTGATGTATGTTTAGGATAAAAATTCTATGCATCAATGGGTCATGGCTCAATGGAGGTGTTAGTTTAGAGTTTAATGTAGAGCTGTGGCAAAAACAGAAGAAATGTACACCAAATTCCCTGTGACAAGAAGTGTCAATGAGTTGACAAATAATATTTGTTAAGACTGAGATTTTTAAACGTAGATACAGAAGCATTCTATGAACACAAAATCAAATAATAAATGAGTATGAAGAGTTTACGAATAAACTTCTTGTTGTGAAATGCAAAAACACAATAGGCTACTTGAAGTAATGATTAAAACGGCGGAGGACCAAACTAAGGGTAAACAAAAAGAACAACTCACTAATTTGTCCACATTAGCATTGGGGTTAAAGCCATTCCAAGGAAGTTTCGACAAAAACCTATACACTAGCGTTTCTTAAATGTAGGATTCAGATCATTACTATTTCTTGTTTTGATTACAAGACACTAATTATTTGTATAACCTGAGACTTTGTTATAATAGAATGAACCCTTCATAGGATTATGTTTTCAACTCACTATACCCTTTTTAAATTATTGTAGACATAAAATAGATAATCACTGTTGTCGATTTTAATCTGTTTTATTTATTTATATACATGCTAACTATACCTTTCTCTTTAACTTACAAGAATATTTTTCGGTTAAGCATGTTTTACAAATGCCCACCATCTTTATTTCCCAATTAGTACTTCATAATCATTGGTATTGCCGTGTTTGAGTTTTTATTATTTTGTTAATTGATTTTATCTTATACCATTCTGTTAACAGAAGAGGAATTGTTCCTAATAGAAGGATTTTTGAAGTACTATGACATGCACTATTTAATGACAACAACAAAAAAAAAAAAAACTTACCAAAAAAAAAATAGTTAAAAAACTATTTTTCTGATTTTTTTACTTGATTGGGAGTTAGAAAAGTAAATTCTAAAGCATGAGCAAAAATATATATATATTCTAAGATGGGTGCAAGTTCTTTCTTTCATTCACATGTTAAATTTTTCATGATTTATGTCCTTGGTGGTTTGAATGGCATGTTGATACACATAAGCATTCTTGCATCTACATGCATGCGTGAGATCATTGACATTTTCTCCTTATTGGGGAAATTTGCTAATTTCATTATAGTTTGGACCTTTGTGTTCTCAGTTTTAACATATAATTGATTGACATTTGTTTGGCCTTGCTTACCTACGGAAAAAATGTGTATGATGTAGTGTACTCTTTGAACAAAGGATGTCATTGATACTTTGGGTCTGTGAAGATCAAAGAAGCCTTATCTAAAATAAAATAAGATTTCTATAAGGACTTCATTAATATTTGGGTAGCTATAGTTTGGCCAATTTTTTTTTATACTATCGGTCAAAATCTTGTTCTCACGTGTGTTGTCTACGATTTTGGTTTGAGTTTTCTTAAATGATCTATTGTACCTTTTTTATTTTTTGAAGGGAAGAGTAAAGAATAGATTTGTGCACGAATTTTGTAATAAACAAGGATTGACAAAAGAATTAGCTGCTATCAGAATAGATTGACAATAGAAATGTTCAATGTGGGATGTTGAACAGCCCAACTGAAATTAGCTATTTGTTATGACTCCGATAATACCGTTTGTTATTCTCTGTTTGGTTGATGGGAAATCCAAAGGAAAATGAGGGACAT